AAAATAAGAACCAAGATGCTCATGTAATGGTACAAGATCCCAATGATGAATGTAACTGTATTTTATACCTAAAATGTACCAGTAAACTTAATGGGGAAAAAACCACTATTATGTAAGCAAGAAATCTCCTTGTATTTAAAAAGCTATTATTGTTTTTAGATTTTCTTTGCAAAAGAAGCAATGATTAAAATACATTATATCAAAAGAAAGAAAGAAAGAAAGAAAGAAAGAAAGAAAAAGGAGTTAGAGGGACTTGCTTATAAGTAGGCACATAACCAAAAAGCCTAGGTTCTGTGCTTAGTCTGTGACCTCAAGGAGCCAAGCCTCCAGCAGCTTTCGCTAATGTTGGTTGAGTGTTGGCTCTGGGCTTTACATTTTCTAGCTCAACCCCAGCCCGATCAGCTAACACTCAGCACCCCACCCCAGTTCCCAGTGACTCACTCCCAGACCCACATCCCAACCCTACTCAGTGGAGAGAGAAGGGGGAATAGGGCAGCTCCCTGTGCTGGAGCCCTCCCTGACAAGCATGTCCCCAAACATGCACACCCAACGTGGGCTCCTTCTTAGGGAGCTGCACGTGTGGATGCTGCCCATCTGCCAGGGCCAGGAATCTACCCTACAATTAGGTAAGAGATAAATCAAAGCCAGACTTGCCTGATGAAATTCAGGAGCCAGTAGCGACCCTTGCCACACATATAAATCCCAGCGGGCTGGCCAAGGGCCTTTGTCTGGTCAGGAGAGTTTAGGATTATCTGGCCCACTTTGCTGATGTATGGAGCCACTGGCTGTCTGCGTGTTTACTAACGGTTATCACCACAACGCTTTGGCCATTATCAAGAGGCAGGGCCGCCCGCCGGGACTGGGGCTCGCACCCTCTCTATTACCACCTGTCAGTGGCGGAGAGTGTGCACTGACACTCTGCAGTCCTGCCCGCTGAGGGAAGATAGTTTCTGACGGCTGATCAAAGAGGAGAAGCAAGGCCTGATAAAGAGTGTGTGTCTCGTGTACTTTTAACTTTGGGAAACATTGGCATTTGCATTTTTTCCTCATCTTCCTGGTGCTGGCAGGAACCAAGCCCAATAAATGTAGTGGATTCAGTTACCTAATCACTGGGGAAATGGTATGTGCTTAAAGCAACAGAGCATAACTATAATCTCCTTCCAAGGGTGAGTGGATGAAATAAGCTTTCACAGAAGACTTGCTGTAGAATAAAGTAAATAATTTAAATTCGGGGCTTTGAAGTGATCTTACATGTAAAATCTAATCTTGGCATTTAGCAGAACACCATGTACTCTTTGGAATTGGGGTGCAGCTTTGGATTAAGGAAGGGTCCTTGCTGGAGATGCTATCACCCAACCACATTACTGGAGTCCCTGAAGTGGTGCCCATGTCCCTGGGCAGCCAGGAGACGCTCTGCAGTGGGGTAGAACGAGTTCTAGATGAAGGCCTCAGCAAGTCTGAGTTCTTGCTCTAAGTCTGCCACAAACCTGAGTTTATTCTTGGACCATATCCTCTTAGAATGTCAAGTATAAAGTGAGGAAATTAAGTATAGGTTATAGGATACAATGGTTTACAAGTTGTGTTTTTAAATTTTAAGGAATGCAACACCTTCTTCAAATAAAATTTTAGGTGGAGGCCCATAGTATCAAGTAGGAAAAAGTAGAAGGGCTTGGGTCCCCTTCCCTCATCCCAGTTCTTGCAGGAGACCCTGAAGACTAGAGGAGCCCTATCAGTCCTCAGACACAGCTTTAAATCCACTCAGCTCGGTGACATAGAGGCCATTCTGGAGGCCTGCACACTCCTGTTTCCTGGCGCCCTGTGCATGGAGGAGCATGGGTGGTGGGCAGACAAAGAACAGCCTGCCCTCTATAGGCCTGGACTCAATGCCAGCTGTCCCTGTGTGCCACAGGTACCTTTGACCGGAGCGTGACCTTGCTGGAGGTGTGTGGGAGCTGGCCTGAGGGCTTCGGGCTTCGGCACATGTCCTCCATGGAGCACACAGAGGAGGGCCTCCGGGAGCGGCTGGCTGATGCCATGGCTGAGTCACCAAGCCGGGACGTCGTGGGATCAGGAACAGGTAAAATGTCATTGGACGTCTAGGCTGACTTGGTTATGATGGTACCTGCTGGTTTACAGCATCCTTGGCAGGCTGAGGGTGTGTGTGTGTTTAGCATCTGTTTCTTAGTATTCTGATTGCGGTCCATTTTAGAAGCTTTGTGGTATTGGAAGTCCCAGGGGAACCGTACCCTCCCACTTGGAACAATGCATACAAAAAATGCAATGAGAAATGCAATTGTATTGTGTCTCTCCCAAGGACACCTCCAGGGAAACGCAGGCCCAAGTTCCTCAGCAGTGCTGGGCACCGAGTACTAAGGCAGCGCACCTTCTTCAGTCTTGCTCAAGACTGTATAAATGGACAGGTGTCAGTGGACCCGCCAGCCCCGGAGGGAGCAGGCTTGAAGCAGCCAGGGCTGGCTCAGCCCCAGCCTTTTTTATACACTGCGTTTTGCTCCAGAGTCCTGCCCTGAGAGAGTCCAGCATATGGGGTCTCAAGTGGCTTCCTGCGTGCTTAGGTGATCGGAAGACATCCTTACATGATTAGGAGTGAGCCCTGTACCAAGCGTGCTCATGCACACACAAACAAACACACACACACCCTACACTCAGAAGAGACCAGAATCCTTCCATCTCCACATGACTATAATACAGGCTGCCTCTCATTTCTCCAAAACATTTCTGCACTCTCCATCTGTGCTCAAGATAACTACTCCAGTCTGCATGTCTGCCTGCCCCAACAAGCCTTGTCCCAGCTCTCTGAGGTCAGTGGGGACTTTTTATCGTGTTGAGCAGTCCCTGCCTAAGAGCCTTTCCGCTCCTGCTTGCCTGATTCCTTTTGAGACTATTATTCTTTGTTATGAATTGCTGCATCCCCGCATGCCTGCCTGGAAAGAAGAGCCCAGGAAGGAGAAACTTAAAACTGTGGAGCAGATCCTAACCAGGACCAGCAAGATTTAGAGTCAGAGCACTTGGATTCGGGCTTAAAGTACCTGACATCATCTCACTGGGCTGTGGATCCTCCAGGTCTTTAGATGTTTGGGCCTGATACTCAGCTTTCCCTCTGTTCTTCCCCAGCCCCAGGCCAGTGCTACTGATAGTTGGTTGGCTTCTTGGCTTGCCCTGAATGTCTGTGTGTCACTGGCAAATGAACAGAATGGAATAGATGGATACAAGGCAGGAAGAGAAGAGTTTGTCTAGAGATGGAGCAGCACCTTATCAGGCCCTAGGAGACAGACATCACTGAGAACTGGCCCCCTCTGAGCCCCCTTCTTCCTGGAAAGAAAGATGTGGGTGTCAGAAGTGACAACAAGCTTATGTGTCACACCGCTGTGCGCACACATGCACAGACACAGCAGGACCTCACCTGCCCTATCCCCCCACTGATAATACATCTTCAAGGATAATACATCTTCAAGCCATTCCCCTCCAACCTGGATGCAGAATCGAGGAGCAGCTGGGTCACTTCCGGGCTGTGAGCCAGTCTCCTGAGGGGCTGACTTAAGGGACAGAAGCTTCTCCCTTTCCGAACCTTGCCAGTAGCATTAGCCTTCCCCTGCACATTGCGGGCCCCAGCCAGCTGCAGCTCGTAAGAATCAGAGTCTGGTGTTGCTGGACTCACTCCCAGGAGCCTCCCTCTTCCAAGGGCCAGAGAGGCTCTGGATCAGCTTCCTCTGCAGCCACCTTCTCAGATGCCCCCAGGTCACCTCAGTGGTGTCCGGCAGGCAGTTTTGAAGGTGCATTCAGCGGAGTTGTGGAGCTCCGGCCTGGCATGGACAGTAGTAACCTGAGCAAAACTGGCAGTGATTCATCTGCCAGACAGCTGAGAGACTCAGGAGAGTCTTTGTTGGCCTTAAGGAAGTTTGTGAAATTAAAAAGAATTTTTTAAAAAAAGAAAGAGGAAATTAAAACTGCATGACCCACAGGTCAGAAAATAGGAGACTCCCCTTTTTTCAGCAGAGATTTCATTTTCTTCCTCAAACTGTCACCAAAAGGGGTTCTTAAATCGTATTAAATGATTTTTTAAATCTGCCTCCATTTTTAAAGGCCAGTGAATAAAGTAGGTATTATGGAAGTTAACCAGTTTCCTTCTCTGTTGGTGAGAATCATAGCCAGGGAAGTACAGGGCCGTATGGGGGAAAATTTCCAGCAAGTCACCCTTCGCCCATCTCACCCTCTGTTCCCATCTTTCTTCCCACAACCCTGCCCCTCTTGTGGCTCACAGGACAAACAGAGTGACACTGAGTGTTTGCCTCTGTTGGGTGCTCTGATGCACAGAGATAAGTCAGCTGCCACTCCCTTCCAGCAGGCATGTCACACGAGAAAGCAACCAGGCTGCTCTCAGTTTACCTAAGCATGAGTGAGGCTGACCCGAAACTTGCCTCACGAGCCGTGCCACTGAAGCCCATCGTATACCCGGCTCACTCTCACTGTTACATAGGGCGAGCAAGTACTCTGTCACTAAACATTTAATAAGCAGCCCCCCCCAAGGGAAGATGGAAAGCCCTGATTTGTGGACTTCTGGAGTATGAAAACTCCTATTATTGCTACTTTCACGCTACCAACACGTCAGACAGCGAGCTGAGTTCCGGAAAAGGTAGCAGTCAGCCTGCCAGTGCCTCACTGCTAACCTGTACTGGAGGACAAATGAGCTCGCCTCAGAAGTAAAAAGCAAAATCTTTAAAAACCTACTATTCAGGACCAGGGATTTAGCTCAGTGGCGTCACACCTACTTGCCAAGCACAAGATCCTGAGTTCGATCCCCAGTACCAAAAAACCCCTACTATTCAGAGGGGAGGGAGGGCAAAGGATGTTGGTTAGATAAGATGAATAAATTCGAATTCTATGCTGTAGCAACGTGACAGTACTTAGTAACATGTACCGTATTCTTGAAAATGGCTAAGCCAGTGGATTGTAAGTGTCCTCACCGCAAAAGAAGAGGTAAGTATGAGGTAATGCATGTGTTAATCAGTTCAATTTAGCCATTCCACAATGTATGCATACTTTAAAACATCATGTTGTACACAATGAATACACACATTTTTGTTAATTAAAAATAAATTCACTTTTTAGAAGACAGCGGTCTGCAGACCAGCAACATCATTACTCAAGTGCTGATTAGAAATACAGAATTGATCGGGGGTGTAGCTCAGTGGTAGACCATGTGCTTGGCATGTGTGAAATCCTGGGTTAAATCCCTACCATAGCAAAGTGGGGAGAGGGAGAGAAAGAGAGAGGGAGAGAGAGAGAAGAGAAAAATGCAGGGTCTCAGGCCCCATCCAGCCCTACTCTATTAACATCAGAATTTGGGGGGGGGGGTTTCCTTCAGTGCTGAGGACTGAACTCAGGACCCTGGACATACTAGGCAAGCACTGCTCCACTGAGCCACACCCTCTGCCCAGCCTCTGCATTTTAACAAGCCCCCCACCTTGCCCTGTGCATAGTAAAACTTGAGAAGGTCTGTTTTAAAACATGGTTAACTAAGCAGGTATTAGTTCAGTTCCCTGTGATAGCTGCTGAGCAAGGAGTCTGATGAGCTCACATACATATTTTGCAAGTCCAGCTCTAATATAACTGGCTGAGTTGCTTTCTTGTTCGAGTCCTTACACTCTTTGCCCCTGGTACCCTTCCATTGTCTCCTTCAGTAAAACTCCAGTTTGAGGTTGGTCCAGCTCTGCTTGTACCCCTGGGTTGCTGAAAAAAAATCACAAATTGTGCAGATTAGTACTTCTGCAAATAGGTGGTCACCTGCCACTGAGCTGTGTTCTCTGTTTCCTAGCGCCCCCCTCCTTTTCTCAGTTTCCACCATCTTTGCAGAGAAACGGAGCCTAGGACAGAGTCCAGCCCATGGCAGATGCTGGCAACTGTGTGTGCTAAGCTCCGCCCGGGGCTGGAAGTGCTGCTGCAGCCCCTGCTTGTTGCTCTGGCTTTGGGGCTACTGAATTTCCATTCTTGGAGGGATTCCCCAGATCTCTGGTCCATCAAGAGTGCATATCTCATTTTTTTGTTTGTTTGTTTTGTTTTGTTTTTGGTACCGGGGATCGAACTCGGGTCCTTGTGCTTGCGCAGCAGGCGGCGAAACCACTGAGCTAAATCCCCGGCCCTGCATGTCTCATTTTTGATACATTTTTCCTATTTTGCTCTTTTAGTATATTCCTGTGCTCGGTCCCTCATCTCGAGGTCAATCACTTTCTTCCACATAAATAGTATTTCAAGCTTCCCTATTCTCAAGTCACATACCCCACCATCTCATCTGCTCTCAGAGAGAAATGGTAGGCATCATTCGAGAAATCTCTCAGCTTCCGGCCACTCAGATCCTAAACGTCCCTGCGTCAACTGTCCCCTGGTCTCCCACAGCAGAGAAGGAGCAGTCCCTGCAGTCCCAGCTTGGCCGGCCACAGCTGTCTCTCCAGGGTCATTACTGGACATTGGGTCACCTCCACACTGGCCCTGTCAGCCCCTCCCTGTGTCTGGAAGTGCTCTCCCTGTGGCGCCTGCTTTACCACAAGCTCCTGGTTTTCTTCTGCCTCTGGCTACTTTTCAGTCCCTTTCCTGGGTTTCCCTTCTGTGTCATCCTTAAGTGGATTTCTCAAGGTCCTATCTCAGCCCCTTCTCATCGCCCTCAGTATATGGCAGTCTCTGCCTCCATGGCTCCAGTTACTATGCCTGAACTGAAGGTTTCTAAATAATTTTCATGTTGGCTCCTCTCCTGATCTCCAGAAACATTTGTCCAGTTATCTACCAATAAGTCCACGTTTCCGGAAAGTGAGCTCCTCTGACCTTTTCCTTCTTCCAGTTCACCCATCTCTGTGTGTAGAAAGCCCTTCAGGAACAGCCTCTGCCCTCTCCCCTGACCCATCTCCCGCCGTTCTCTGCCGGCCCCAGCCCAGCTGAACCCCAGGGGCTCTGAGCACATGCACCCTCTCTCTGCCCACCAGGCCTCTGTGTGCACTTTTCCTTTTGCCTGGAATGCTGTCTCCCAGAACCCCTTCCTGTCCCCACCATCCCCCTCAAAATAACTTGACTAATCCCTGCTCAGCAGACATTCCTTTCAATATTGCTTCTTCTAGAAAAAGATTTTTAAAAAATAAATGAAACATTGACATTCCAGTTGCTTTCTGTCTAGGTAAAGATATAACTTAGTACCAAAAAAAAAGTTTTCAAATAAACACCTGGGTACACATTAAGTACATTGTCTCTAAACTTTAACTGTTTCCGTCACTCATTAAACCTTATCTCTTTTCTGCCTTCTCCCACGTGTCATATCAAAAGCCCAGGCTTCACGCACAGGTCCCAGTCACCCGGTTCAAGTATTCTGGACACATCTCTGTTGCAGGCTGCTGCTTTTGACTCCCACAAGTTCATGAAGTCAGCTGTCCAGGCCAAGGGGGACTGGCCTTCCAGTAATTGTTGCTCCCCAGTCCTGGGCTTAGGGTGCCTTTCTCCTTCACAGTCCTGTTCAATTGTAAAGCTGACAGGCTTTCAAGACTCTGTCTTTTTCTGCCCACCCTGTCCTTACCAGTCCCTGCCCTAGACCAGAAGCGCTTCTTCTTGGCCAGCACACTGTAGGCTCACCCGTTGCCTCTTCTGTCATAAATATATTTTACTTCCTAATTCAGTTCACCCAGATATTCAGACCTTCACAGCACAATATTACAGGCAAAGCATTCTAATACTTTCTATTTTATTTCATTTTTTTAAAATGTAGTCATGAGCCACTAAATTGATTTTATAATACTTTGATGAATTATGATCTGTAGTTTAAAAGCAAATGCTCTAGCTTATTCTGCTAAATCCTTTGAGTTTTCCTGTCTGTATGTTAATTACCAAGCCAAAAAGGCATTACAATTATTTTCAACTAAAGCTCTTCCAAAGACTTCTGTTAGGATCTACTTTTATTTATGGAAAGGACTGTGCATGTTTTCCTTTTTAACACGAAAAGCATATCTTGAGCTTTATGCACAGTTTTTGAATCATGATAGAAGGTTTAGTAAGTTAATTAGCGAGTACCTGTTGATTGGCTATGCTTTGTAAAAGATGATCTTAAAGCTCTACATTACTAATATCCTTCATTTCAGGACTATAGAGACTAAACCTTCAATAAATGGGAGCTTTTGCAGCTGGAGTTGATCAGATGTGTACCCTAAACCAGGTCACTCAGCGTGTTGGACACCCTGCCCTACCTCTAGGATTAGTAGCAACTTCAGGGGCCTTGGGGCTCCTGCTTGTCCCACTGCTGAGCGCTGGGAACATTTTTGGGCATCTCTAGTAGGTGCTGTATTAGCCGCTTCCCATCACAAGGTGCCACCCAATCAGGTGGCGGGAACTGCAGGCACCTCCAGGGTGGTGCGCCCATTCTCTGATCTTTCAGCCGCCTCTACTCACTGGTCAGCCCCGCCGAGTTCAAAGCAGATGATCAGATCATCGGTGTGCACCAGAAAGCTCCTTGCCCACCCTGGACTTTGCAGACATTTCTGAGGCTGTAGCAGTCATTACAGTTTTCCCATCCCACAGATGAAAAATCTCCAGCTCAGACAGAGCTTTGCCCCATCCACTCGCACCCCAGAGATGTGTTTCCCTGCAAGGCCATGTCACAGGCAGCCAGCAAGGCGCTGTCTGAGTCTCTGAAGTCCCTTTCCCAACACTAAGGTTTTTAAGTGGAAGGTGGGCCCCTCTCTGGTGCTGAGGCAGCCACCCTGCTCCCATCTAAGCAAGGCCAGTGGGCTCTTGGGCTGAACCTGCTGCCTCCCTGGGGCCAGCGTGGCGAGTAGCTCCGTGGGTCACAAAACCTGCTGTGCACAACAACCAAGCCACTTTGATCTGTCTGTGGCATCTTCTTCCACTTGCCACACCTTTCTGCTTTGAAATGGTGTTCACTCCAGGCACCCAGAGCTGAGGAAGGTTACAGAGAATCTCTTCTCCATGATGCCTGCTATGGAAGCTTGAGAGACCCAGCCTTGAATCTCACCTCTCTGGCTTCCCCCTCTGGAGAGGAAGAGGGTGATCCTGACTCGACTCTCACTTTCTCCAGGCTCCAGGCACACAAAGCTTCTGGCCTGGTCTGACTTTCTTGCGAGACTCTGGGCTTCTCTATTTGCCTGCTGCTCCTAAAATGGCCACTGTCCCCTCAAGACCAGGTTTTTCTGCCATCACCACCATCATCCAGGGAATGTAGGCAGGATTTTTTTCTCCTGCAGCACTTACAGAATGCCTTGGGCTTCTTCTCCCAATGACTCCCTCAGTGGCCCCGTGCACTCTGCCTGGTGGCAGCAGCCAGGCTGTCCATAGGCTTCTGCTACATCCCTCACCAGCTGGAGAAGAACGGGCAAGCCGTGGTTCCAGAACCGTGGGTCTCTTCCTCTCGAGCTTCTATCCCCAGCTTGCCACTGGGACCGTTTGTTGAATGACCACGTGGCCCCTGAAAAGTAAATGAAAGCCAGTCAAAGCAACGGGAATCATTGTTATGCTTAAAAGACATGTTTGTTAGTTTGGGGCCAGGTGGTTTCGGATCGGATTCTAGATAGATTGCTTTCTCTTTCACCTCACCTCCTCTCTGCTTCTCCCCTCTGGAAGACCCATACACAGGCAGAGCTCCAATAGGAGTTTAGTCCTGAGAAGCTCCAGTTGCCTAAAGGCTACTTGAAACTCTGTAGCCCAGCTGCCCCGATCTTGTCGACATGAAGTGCCAGTGTGACTTCCCTGGTGGCCCTTCAGAGTCCCTTTCCAGATGTTGCCCCAAAATGGGAGTAAGAGTGACAGTGGGAAATGTACAGGCTTGGGCAGAGGGTGGGGGAGGGCTGTGGGACCCGAGAGCCAGGCCCCTCCTCTGGAAGCTTTAGCACAGGTGAATGGTTAACCAGAGGGAGGACTGTTCTCAGTGCCTCCTCGTCTGCCAGGGAATTCACCTTTAATCACTGGCCCTTCTTCGAGGTGAGAGATCTGACCAACATAGGGCATAGTCACGGGTGGTTAAATACCCACCTTTCCCTTGTGCCCCACCTTCTCAGAAGCCAGAGGGAGGTGTGCAGACCCCTCTAGATGTGATGGCTGCAGGAAGAGGGGACATGCACACACACAGAAAGGGAAAGTTGGAAATGACTCTCTGACTAGTTAGGAACCGGAACCTTGCATCTTAGTTACCGAAGAGAACAAGAAAGCCAAGCCATGCCAACCTGACTGCATTGAACAGTGGAGACATTTGGAAGTGCCCACACCAGAAACAGCTGCCCAACCTCTGTTAGGAGGTTGGAAGAATCTTAGGAGATTTCTTCGGGCCCAGCCCTCATCTGTCCCACCCCTACCCCAGGGACCTGCAGGCCCACTGCCTAAGATGTCTTTAAGTTTGCTGGCAGAATCCCTCAGCACCAGACCTACCCAGTTTCCCCCAACATGTTTTCCTGTAGCACGATAGCTTGCAGTTCCACCCCTCTCTGCACTTAATTGGGTTCGGGGAGACTCGCCATCCAGTTGCTTCATTTGTTCAGGACGGCTTTTTCCATTCTCTGTCCCCACCCCCATGCTCATTTACGGGCATCTTCTCATCATCTCCAAGCCCCAGTTGGCCAGGGCCAATGCACATCTCCACTTTGATGTGTGTGACCCCTTAGGGTGGGTTAGGAGAGTGTGAGCCAAGCCCCCCAGTCCCCACCAAGGCTGGTCCTTGGAAGGCTTGGGAGCTTCTTTGGTTTCATGCTTTATTCATCCCTAAGCCACCCAGAGCTGCCTGTGAGCACACAGATCGTGCATTTGAGCACGTCTTCATGATCCTTCTCTAAGTAGCCCGGCCTCACTGCCACGTAGTCTTGACTCTAAGAGGAGGAAGAAATGCTGAGGGGCCCCCCAAGAGACTGGCTTGCCTGCCACATCCTTCCCTGCCATAGCCCCATGTGGCAGACAGGAATATAGGAACTCAGTCAATGACTGGAAGGAGTAGGAGCGGGGAGACTGACACTCGGGTAGGCTAGCGAGAAGTCTGTAGAGCCTGGCTGAGGTGTGCCTTGGAACAGACTAGAGTCACCCCCTGCAAAGCACTCAGGAGTCAAACCAGATTTGGACAGCTACTCAGCTCGATCTCAGTTCTTGCTGCACACATTAAGGTCCATTGTGTGATTCTCCTTAAAGAAATGTTTTATTTTCAATACAGACACAGCCCTTGAAGTAGCAGTAGAACCCATCACCCCTGAGAGACACATGGCTGTGAAGTGTTTGGGTATGTAATCTCTTGTTTTTGCCTACACAGAAGGCTTGGTCCCACCGTTCTTTTTGACCCTCAAGTGGGTACCCTCCTAGCCCCTGGTGCTTGAGCTGCAGGGGCCACTGGAGTAGGAGCAAGAGGTCAGCTCAGACAGGAGGTCCCTTCTGCCAGGCACTGGTTTGGGATGGGGAATAGTTGCCATCCTTCACCCAACAAGAGTTTCTTTGAGGACGCCACTCCCTGCCCCCCACTCTGAAGATGGAAGTCAAATTTTCGGACTCTGCTGTGCAGAGCAGAGAGGTCACTAGGCTCTAATGCATTTACCATTGACTGCCCCTCTTGTAGTGCGTCTATTAGTGAGTAATTTGATTTGTACCTATTCATTTGCAGTCCCTGCAGGAGCCTGGAGCTGGCCCCTAGTATAATTGGTGCTGTCTCTATTTTTACATCATTAGATTAGCCCCGACTCCTGGCCACTTGTTGTCTGCGCTTGTCTGTCCATTTATACAACCTAATGTAACACAAAATTCATTACTGATCACATTACTTTCAACTCTGAAGCCAGCCTTGTGATAAACATTTGGTTAACCCCTTCCTCCCCACGGGAGGGCTGACAGAACAAATGCACTTCTCCTCGACAGGCAAATCAATATCTTAATACACCAAAGTGGAATTGCATTTCTAGATTTGTTATTCCTCCTGGAGGAGCAAATGGAAAGGCTCGTCTGAACTAGCTGAATTGAATAATGAATAGCGGCCCGGCACCAGCAGCCAGTCTGTGCACAAGCACAAAGGCACAGCCAGCAGCAGCCCCTCTGTCTCATGTGGACAGTGGCACCACAGCTGTTCAGTGGCATCGCCATCCTGTCCCCACCACAGCACAGGGCTCGAAAGCACAAGTGGGCACCCTCAAGGGGTAATAGAGATCTCGCCCCAACACTGTTCCTTTTGCTATACATGCTCAAGACAACTGGACCAAGAACTCATTTAATTTCCTTAAAACCTTATTGATGTAAACGTGACCAGATACATGGCCCTAACACTAAATGCCTCCCAGAAATTAAATCCATTACTAAACTCAAGTTTTCATTTGGAAACAAATGCAAAAAAAATTCTTATTTAGAGCCAGGTCAATGATATTGTGATTGGTTGGCTCATACCAACTCTTGTATGTGTGAGTGTGTGTGTGTGTGTGTGTGTGCGCGCGTGCGCATGTGCATACCGGCAAGCATTCTTTGGCACACAAATGTCATAGTCACTGGTATGTGGCTCTCGTTCTCTGGTTGGGATGTTTGTGAGCAGTGGGACTCTAACACAGGAGCTGCCCAAGGGTCTTACAGGGACCTCAGCGCGACTTTATATAATCTAGAATACTCTGCCCTACCCCCACCCTGGTCAGCCCCTCCCCAGCCCCCATTTGTCTCTGGGTAGCATCTACACCCACATTAAGTCATTAACTCACAGGACAGTTTATTTCAAAAGGAAAAATACCCCCACTTATTAAGAAACTCTCATAAAGTCTGTACCACAATGATTAGGAAAATAGACATAGAGGAAATAGAATGGAACCCATTACCATGAAAGTCATAAATCCCTAAGTAAAAAGAAACCATAAACTGAAGATACTCAGGTGGGAAGGGAAGCTGGAAAAAGCAGCCATCTCTGGAATGTTCTGCTTGACTACAGGGAAGTCCAGAGCAGGAGGCCCAGGAGGAGAGGCCCGGAAGCCTGTAGTTAGCCAGTGTCCCTCCCGTTAAGCAGGTGGGGTCCTGGATCCTGCTGTCCCTTAACCTGTTCAGAGCCCTTGCAGGGCAGAAATGATGAGCAGTCCTGTGAGATTCCGAGGAGTCTGAGGGAGTCCTTGCGAGGCTCAGATGCCACTCTTGCCCTTGTCTGTCAGACTGAGTCCTGCATGGGCGGAGGAGGGAATTTACAGGCAGCCCCATCCACCCTGGGGCCACAAGTGGGAGGTAAGAAGTGTGGGGAAATCACCTCACCTCACTGGCTGTGGTGCCAGGGCAGTGAAGGCTCCTTGGTTTTTTTTCCTTTTGGTCCTGGGGATCGTACTCAGGACCTTGCAATTTCTAGGCAGGCGGCAGAACCACTGAGCTAAATCCCTGGCCCTCAGTGAGGGCTTCTTGTCCCAACTCCTCTAGAATCAACTCTTAAGTGCTTCCTAGTGTGACACGAGTCTGAGGTGAGCCTGGGCACAGCGGCTGCCCCATCAATGCTGGGGAGGAGAAGTGGGGACACAAAGTCCCTTGGCCACCCAACCCCCAGTTTACCGGCTCGCATGGCCTCGGGTGGGTAGGTGGGAGGGGGTGGGAAGCTCCATCTCCCACACTGGCCCAGCCTCAGAAGCTCTAGAGAACAGGTAAGAGCATAGGCATGGACCTCACAGACTAGGACAGGCCAGTGGCAGGGAAGAGTGAATCTGCTGGTGGAATGAGGGACTGATTTCTTAACCTTGATGGAGCAGGGGGAAAGCCACATCTTACCAAACTCTTCCGCTGCGTCGCAGAGAATTTAATTACATTTGGACATCTGAATGAGAACCAGATGTGGCTCTGGCCCTGCCGGCCAGCAGCGTTCAAAGTGCAGCGTCTGTCCTGTCGTCTGCGGGTCCTGTGTTATCTCATAAGGCTGGAGGCCAGCTTGGGAAGTCCCCTGCCTGCGAGCTGGGGCAGGGGCTTCCAAGCCTCAAGGCTGGGCTTCAGGAAATGGGTGGGTCCAGGCCAGCTGCCAGGCACCTGGTTCCCAGGGAGCGTTTCCAAGACCAGTCTCCTCCGCAGAGCCATGCCAAATGGGCACACATGCCAGTTCCTGAGACTCCTCCAGCCTGCCATAGCGCTCAGGCCTCCTCTGACCCCAAGTCATGTCTGCTTGCCTCTTCGCTCTGAGTGGACTGTAAATGGATCTGCTGAGGCTCTGCCCCCAGTGTTGTGCCAAGGACCTGGAGCTAGAAAGGGCACTTCAGGCCCCACCCCACCCCTACAATGCGTATTGCCCCTGGGGCCTCAGCCTGCTACGGACACCGATTCTTCTAGTGGTCTCTGGCCAGTGTTGGGCTGGTTAGGGCCCCTTCCTGTCCTTTCCTCATGAGAGCTGCACACGCCCAGTGAAGTCTCTAGAAAACACCTTCCCCTCCTGAAAAACAGAGGAGAAGCAAAGTGACTTGCCCAGATCCTTCAGCACGTCTGTGACAGCTGGGTCCACAGCATTATCTTCCTCTTCCTCCTCCCCCTCTTGGCTCAGTCCAGGGCAGAACTGAGGCCTAGTCACCAAATACCTCAGACCAGGAAGTGTGAGCCAGTGAGCTCAGCCTTTCTGCTCCCACGTCAAGTATGCTTGACAGGATGCTCTGCCTTGGTCCGCATTTAGTTATACTAGTGTGGTGGGCATGAGGGGGTCACTGGGCATGGGCTGCCAGTCAGGGTGGTCTGGGTGGGTAATCCTGCTGCCCTCTTCTTTGAGGCTGACAGGGTTTCTTGGAAGTGAAGTATAGCAGCCCTTTGGTTCAAGTCTTTCCCTGTCTGGCTTTGGTGCAGCTGTTGTTGGGGGCACCTGGCAAAAGGCTCCAGTCCCCACCCGGACCAGTGCCTCCTCAGGCTCAGACCCCACTCGCTGTCACTGGTGTTCAGATTGTGAAGGAGAATCCAGGCCATGCTGGGAGCCCTGCCCCCAGTACATCACATACACACACACACAGAATTGTAGGGGTGGAGGCCATAAGGACAGGCCTGGTGAATGGGGGGCAGGACTCTGAGAGAAGCCCCCTCCTGTGTCCTCCTCATTCCTCAGCCTTCTCCCTCTCCCTGTATTCTAACATGCACTTCTCTTGGCATCATTCCTCTGTCCCTACTGGGCCCACCAAGGATTCAGAGATCTAGCCTACCTCGTGGTGTTAATGCCACACTGGCCTGCTGTCAGGAACTGGACTCCCAGAGGCCTGGAAACCTTTCCTTTTTGGCTGCCAGAGGGTAGAGGGGATGAGAGGAAGGTGCCTCTTGCCCCATTCCTCGGGCTGGAAGTGAAGGCACCAAGAGGCTTTCTGCTTGTCCATCATCTTTCCAGGTATTGGTAATCACTTTTACCTTCCAGGGAGCCTCGAATGCCTGGGAGCATCTGACTTCTCCTAGGCCTCAGGTCTCCCCCAAACCCTGCTGAGACTCTTAGGCCAAGGAAAGCAGTTCCAGGCTTCCTAAATCAAGAGTACCGAGATTTACCCTCACTGTTGGCAGCTGAGAGTGGAGGCAGGATGGGCCACGGGAGCTTGGCCTCCTTCGGTCATGATATTCTGGTTTCTGTACTTGAGAGAGTCAGAAACAAAACCTCGGCAAGGAGGAAAAAAAATTTGTGTGGGAGCCCTTTGAGTTGAAAGAGACTGGCCAGGAAGGAGCTACTTGCTGCCCCCAGGCAAGAGGGCTCTGGAGCCCAGGCGGTCTATGTGGTAAGACACCAGAAGTCTGTGGCGTCAGCCAGCCAGGGGTCTGGACTCAGGCATAGGTGTTAAGCCCCAGAGATAAGAAGAGCCCAGAGATAGCCTTGCTTCTCATCTGTGGCCTGGTTCCAGCTGCCCAAACCAGGATTCCTATGATCTGAAAAGGAAGAACCTTTTCATCCTGGGCCTCTCAGCTTCCAGAAGCTTCTCCCCACTCCCCCTTCCTCAAGCATGCCTGGCAAAGGGACAGGAGGCCCTGCTAGAGAAAAAGGGTGATACCTGTCTCCACTGGCTTCAGCCCCCAGCCTCCAAGACCCCACTAGGATGGACAAGGAGGCCCCCTGGTCTCTTGGCACCTGTGTGAGCTGTGCAGCCTAAAGGTGCCAGAGAGGGGCGGCAGGGAAGGTGTAGGGGAGCCAGGCGGCCCGAGATGGGTATGCCGAGTGTGGGGAGAAGCAAGGCATTCCTACAGGCTGCCTTCTGTAACAGCGGCACTCTTAATCTCCTAAAAAGCGCCCTGGGGGCTGAGGTTGGCTCCTGCCCAAAGTGTGGTCTCGACAGTGCCGCCGTCAGGTTTTAAAGGCAATCTCAGCCAACTCCATGTAGGTCTCGCTGAATGGGTCCCGCCTCACCAGCCACACTAGAAGAGTAGCGGCTCTCAGCCTACTTGTAAGACAAGTAGCCCCTAGCCAAGTCTGCCAAGGCCACCTCCTAGTTGGCATCTGGGCCAGCTCTCTAGCTTCCAGCCTCAGGAAGCTGCCAGCCCTCCTTAGCCCCATGAGACACCTTCAAGCTTCCTCACCCACTAGCCTCTCTCAAATGCCATTTTGCATAGCTGGTCCCTGGCCCTGTTTGCAGGCCTCTTGCTGACAAAATTGCTTGCTTGGGACAGACTCCATTTGAACCAGTTTGCTGCACTTGTGACAGTCCTGTGGTCCCCTGGTTTCTTCATTGCAGAGCCCATTAAGGGAAAATACTGAAGGTTCCCACCTTTAATAAGAGGACCCTCCCCCACACACAGCACCTGACTCCTCACCCAAGAACCCTCAAGCAGAAGGGAACTGAAGCTGTTCTGTTTCTTGCAAACCTCCTCTGACCCAGGCACTGGGCAAGGCCAGCCATGTGGCTGGCTGTGCTGTGTGGCCATCCCCTTCCCTGGGCTGCCATCAAACCCACCCCAGGCAAGGGTCTTAACCACAGGCCTTGCTAATGGGGGAGAACTGGGAGGTAGATGCGGGAGGGAAAAATCAATGCACGTCAACAGGGCTAGAAATTTATTTTCCATCTTGGAAGAGGGTGTTAGCAAAGAGGCAAGGAGGGAAATGAAAAGCTGTAAACACGCATCTCCCATCTACCTCCCTGGGCCATTTCTTGATTAAAAAAAAGAATCCCAGGCTCCAGTGGAGGTGGAGCTGGCAGGGGCCTGGATGGCGAGACACCTGCTGGGGGAAGGCTAGAGGGGGACCCAGAAGTCCTGTGGATAATCACAATGACTAATTCAATTGCAACAATAATAGTAACTCGCATTTGCTGACTGGAAGCTTTAAGCACTTTGTGATGTGCTCTACATGCAGTATTTAATTTCATTCTTACAACCAGGCTATGAAACAGACATTGTTATCCTCATATTCAGGGACCCGAAGCACAGAGATTTGAGTAATTTGCCCAAAGACTCCCAGAGAGCAAGTTGCCAGAGCTTGTGCTCTCAGCTGCTTCCCTAGGCCACCTCCAACCTGCACAGGCCCATACCCACCTGCCTTCTCAGGCTGAGGCTAGTACAGTCCCCTCCCTGGAAGTGGGCAGAGCCATGGGGCAAAGGAGGACTCTCTCCCCCACCAGGTCTAATCCCACCCCCTCAGGGCTGCTTGGGTGGTTTGCTTAGGACTGGAGTGTATGGCTGTAGCCAGGGCCCAATAAAAGCCAGGGCTAATCCCTTTAATGAGCAGCACCTTGCCGCTCCTGTATAAAGCAAGGCTGGCTGGAGCCTTGGAGGAAACCAGAGGGGCCCGGCAGTAGGTGCTGCTCCTTTGGTGGTGGCGGAAGTGGCAGGGCTGCCCTGAGGCTGAGCCAGTGCTCCAGGCACCCTCTTCCCACATGCAGCACTGCCCTCACTGACCCCTTGGGCCCTGGAAACAGGCCTTCATCTGGTCCCTGAGATGGGGTCTCCACAAGACTTGGGCTCTCTACCAGGAGCCAAAAGAGCCCCCCTCAAGGTCCCAGACTGGCCAGACCCAGAGAACACCCAGCCCCAGGTAGGGCTTCACTTCTGGTCCTCTGTCAGGGTCACCCACTCACTTGAGCGTTCCCAGCCTGCCCCAGTTCTCCCTCAGGCGCAGTGTGCTCGGTGGTTCACCCTCCTCCCCAGGGAACAGGGGAACCAGAGAGCATGTTTGTTCTGTAAAGTGGCTGGTGTGTGAAAAGGGGCCTTCATCTGTGCATCCCCAGCACTATGCTCCTCAGGCCCCAGGAGCCGGCCCTCTGCTGCTCACGCCTTGGCCACCGTGCACTGAGGGGCAGGGGCTTCTGCTGTGAGCAGTCGGTCATGGCCGTCCTCCTCACACAGCCCCTGCCTGTCTCTCCCCATACACTCTGCAGGAACCAGTCACTTCTCCCTAACAAGGCCAGCCACCTGTCTCTGCCCCTCAACGACCTTTGAGGTTCGACAGACTCTATATGGAGTGGGAACAACATGAGGATCAAACCTTCTCATCTCTTTATTTCAAAAGAACAGAGGGAAGCCTCCTACCTTTTGGCTACTGCCCCTTTCCTGGTCCCCTAGTCCCTGTGGCCTGCCCATCCCAGCGTATGGCACAGAGCATTTTTCACTAAGAAGCAGCAGGGAGCAGGTGGACACAGAATAGCCAGAGGTGGGCACTGGGGCCGGGCTTATGGTGCCTGGGGTGTTGGAATCCTGCGGCCTGTGCCAGCACCACCGCATCCCTCTTCGGTGGTGTGCAACCCAGGACCAGTGCTGCTTCTTCATCCTTGGCTTTGCTCTCTGTCTCCCAAGAGCACCAAGTCCTGGAGAATGTGAGGTCACAATTAGATTTTCTTATGTCTGGGTCCAGCCACTTCCCTGGGCTTCCAGTTCCTCATTCCCTGGCCCACTCAGTGGCCCTCGAGCACAAGCTGCCTTAGCGCTAACTTTTCTCCACTGCCAGAATCTCCAGATCTCTAAGGGGAGGTTTCTGGGGACTTCTCTAGGGCCAGCGCCCCCAGCATTCTCTCCTAGACTCCGGCAGGCTTCGGGTGGGCCTTCCCCACATGTCCACCTCCACCACAGGACAGCTTCTCAGAGCTGGGGGGCTTGGGAGTGGTGGGGAGGAGGGTGGCAGCCAGAGCCGGGCCACTGAGTCAGAAGGTCCCAGGTGTCCCTGAAAACTGTGTCACCTGTCTCCTCTCCCGGCAACCTACCTGCATGGGGCCCCATTCGCACTGCATGGGCCAGAGGCCCCATCTCTCTCTCCCTCTTCCAAAGCTGTTCTCGTGCTCACAGGGTGTGACTTTTCCTCCCCCAGTCCCACACTGAAGGGGTTCAACGGTTCCGTGTCCGGGCTCCCCAAGACTGGTCAGTCCCCAGCTCCTTACATGTGCATGTCACTGTCTTCCTTGACTGCAGAGTCCCACTGCAAGCGTCCCCTCCTCCCCGTGTGACACCCCAATGCCTCCTTACACCCCCTCCACCTGCTTGCAGAGATCAGTGTACTTCTCAGTCATTGTCCATATCTTTTCCAAAAAGATTCCTCAATGCTTTTCTTTCCAAAAGGGAAAAAAAAAGGAAAAAAAAAACAATGCCAACAGCCCAGCGTCCGTGAGCAACCCAACAGTAACAAAGCATGCGTTCGGGATGGAGGAAGGTAAGGCCACACATTTCCATTTGCCGCTTGCTCCTAGGGCTGGGCGGCTGGGATGACTCAGAGGGGAATCCTGCGTGCACCCCTCCTCCACGGCTACTTCCGCACATTCTCACTCTTCCTCTTCCGGGGGAAGAAGCGAGGAGGGGACTTCACAGAAGACACAGAGAAAAGTAGGCTCCTGGTTCTTTTTTATTACTCTGTGCCCCTTACCACATCGTCATTCATCATTCCGGAAGCGAATTCGGAGCACTAGCTATTTTCCAGGCCTTCTGATTGCCACTGGGGATACAGAGATTGGGCACAGAACCCCCCCAAAAAACCCAGAGCCTCTCCAGGTGTGGAGGAGGAGGAACACCTGGTAGTTTTGAGGGCCTGGCTGAGTTAACATGGAGCTTGGTGCGGCCGGGCAGGCTCTCCCAGGGAAGAGGACGAGCTTGTGGAGGCGTGGACACCCATGCAAGATCGGCAGGCGTTGGGGCCCCAGAGAACCTACCGCCATCTGCACAGTTTCCTGACTGGTTCCTGGGACAGAACAAGGGGGCGTGCTAATGCAGCGGGCTGGGAGGCAGGCTGTGGGAGGCTGTTTGCCAGTGCTGGGTTGTTCAGACCTTATCTGTGGACCTGCGGAGTTGTTGACAGTCTTTAAGGAGAGGAACAGCAAGATGAGGTGTGCGCTGGAGAAAGACAGTTCTTGCTGGGGGAGGGGTGGGGGGAGGGTGGGGACTGGAGATCGGGAGGCCCAGGTGGCAGCGGGAGGTGAACAGGCAGAGTCAGCAGGGCCTTGGTTACCCTGGGAGCCGGAGGCAAAGAGAAGCCTTCCAGCCTCCATCTTACCCAGGCCTAAGAGAAGAAGAAACACGACCAAGGCAGCTCAGGCCGAATGGAGCTGGCCCTCAGGAATAGCACATTCCCCCTGTAAGCCCCCTTGTCAAGCGTCCCCGCACTGACATGGGGTGTTCCGCTCAGACTCGAGTGCTGGGGTCACTGAGGCTGCTGGGGGTGTTGCTGGAGAGCTATGCCAAGGGGCGGTGGGGTGCCACGCTTGGTTCCAGATCTGGTTTCCTCAGCTTCTTTGGCAGTGTGGATGTGTTGCATTTCACATCAAGACTGTTGGGGCTGTCTCTCTGCTCTGGAAAGGCGTCACCCTTCCCCATACTGGTAGCCTTTCCTGCTCCTTCATCTGGGTCTTTCTCGCTCATGCCTGGTGCCCAGATCCTGAGAAAGCCCTCTGCTTTCCTTGCTACTGCAGTGGTCCTCTCCTGTCCTCCTCGCCCTGCTGTCAGCGCCCCCTAGTGCCAGGATGGCTGCGCAGGAAGGCAAGGGCCTCTGATCTCCCCCAAACTCCTTGGCTTGCTTGTGGGGAAAGTAGTGAATGGAGGCGCTGTCTTACAGTCTGAAACTTCCATACTAAACAGCCAGGGTCTACTCTGCTTTCCCATCTTCTCTGTCTCACAGCTCAATGGCCCGTACCCCAAACGAGAGTGACATTGAAGAATGAGGAGGAAGGAAGGACCCTTTGCCTCAGCCTCCTGCCTTGTTTTCTGAGCATACCTAGACATCTCTTGATTTCCCCAGGACTGATGCCCACGGGGCAGCCAGAGTCTCTTGGAGATCAGGGACCACAGCCAGGCCTTCAGCCTGTGTGCAGTCCCCCTCTTCCCACTGCCGCAATCTGCTTCGAGCCTCTGGTGTCCTGGCATGTTCCTCCAGCCTGGCCCGTCCCCAGATGTGACTGTTACAGCCCGAGGGCCCCTCAAACCTGGCCCAGGCTTCCTCCTTTCCCCGCTCCATTGTGCGGCACAGCTGCTAGACAGCCGTAGTGCTTTGGGGGTGGCCTGCAGGGTGACAGGGTCAGTGGTTTGTTCCTGACTGGCTGGTGATGGCCAGCCCCGGAGTGAAGACCATGACCCACTCATTCTGTAACCAAAGCCAGCTAGGCTGCATGTGTATGGTGGGCGGGAGATCAGCCTCAAGCCAGACCAGATGAGTGCTACATTGGGCACACCTTGCTGTTTCAAGTGCCTGCTCTGAGGTCCTACACTCTTGAGGAAGACAGGAACACACACACACACACACACACACACACACACACAAACTGCCCCACCACAGTCACAGGAATATGCTGGGGAAGGCTACACTGCAGGTCACATCTTGGCTTGGGGAGACTGCCAGGCACATGTGCATCCACATCTCATAGCCATAATGAGGGGCTGACAGGGAATGGGGCCTGGTCACCTTCACAAAGCCAAGAAGGGCTTCTTTCCTCTTTGCATTCAGCAAGCAGAGAATCCTCTTCCCAAGCCCCTGCCCCATTCCTGCCTTGAGTAAAGAGATGGTAGGCAGTTTAAGGTACCCCATAGCTGAATAAGATGGGCCCAGCTGCCATTTCCAAATGGCAGTGTGGATGTACAGCCCAGGGAAGGCAAGGAAAGAGGTGCTTCCTGCCAGCCTTATGGGTTGAGTCTGAGCATGTCCATTCTGAGGGGCTCCAGGTGACTTGGGAGCTAAGGGGAAGGGAGAAAGGCAGCACTCAGGCAAGTAGGGGCCCTCTCTCCATGGAGCAGGCACCACACAAAACAGAAAGCACAATACTTTCCAGTATTCCAAGGATAAGCCAACTCTTGACCAGCATGCCAATTGTGTGGCTAAGCTGCAGAAGCCCCAGGGGCAGGCGGGGCAGGAGAGGGGCATAGGGACTGGTCAGACATGGAAGCTGTGGTCCATCGCCTGTCCTGGCTTCTCCCCACCTGCCTCACCTACAGATTCAAGTCAGCAGACACTGGAGTTAGGGAATATTTTGGCTGAACACGCTAGGTATGCAGGCACTGCACCCCATGAACATCTGTGTCTGCAGACAGATCATCAAGAAGGCCGTACTTCCTGCCTCAAGGGTCTCCTCGCAGTGAGGGAAAGACCAAGGCCTAACACTCAAGTCTGCCAGCCAGGGGGACCTCTCCGTCCCCCAGCTGAGCCTCCCTGTGACCTGAGCTGCCACCTGGCCAATCTGGGGAACAGGTGGGAGCCCTCCTGCAGAAGGATGTAAATGGACCCAGAACAGTGTCTCAAAGCGAGCAGCCTGGCCCAGGGTGTGCCTCCACAATCCACCCCCGCTTTGACCAGCCCTGGCCCTCCCTTCTGTCTTGCAGAGCTTCAGCGAGAGGGAAGCATCGAGACTCTGAGTAATAGCTCAGGCTCCACCAGCGGCAGCATACCAAGAAACTTTGATGGCTACCGATCTCCGCTCCCCACCAACGAGAGCCAGCCCCTCAGCGTCTTCCCCACCGGCTTCCCGTAGGTGCCAGCTACCTGCTTCCGACTGGCTGGCCTATGCCCCCTGGAGGGAGGAGAAGCCCCCCTCCGACCCTGCCCTCAGTCTCTGCTCCTCTTTCATCAACCACCTTCCCCAAGCTTAGTGACAACAGCCACCCATCCTACCTGGATCAAGAGGAGGCCCTTCTCCAAAGCCCCTGACCTTGATACACCCTGACCTCTGCTGCTGTCAGTGGCAGCTGTGGCCAAGAGAGACTGCAGCAGCTCAGTCCCCTTCTCTGTTTGCACATGATGTCCAGCATTGGACTTGCTTTTGTACTTTCTAACTGTCCCCACAGGGGGCCTGGAACAGTGACCACCAGATCTTGGAGCCTGGTGGGGACAGGGAGGATGGTCCAGCCAGGCATTTTGGCCTTGAATGGATAGTCTCAGCCCCAGCCCACTCCAGGCTGTGATACACACTGCCCCCAGCTTCCCTTGCTCCGCCCCCCTCCAGCATGGGGTGAACTGAGGCCCACAATAACAGGGAAGGAGGGAGGAAGACAGGGAAACCTTCCCCTTCCTCCTTGCTTTCCCCAATGGCTCATGGGAAGAATTTGTCTTTCTTATCTTTAAGCCCTCTTACCCTGGTCCTGTACTGTTCAGTGAAGGAAACTGGTCACTGAGGCCCTGTTGAAAAGTGCACGTCTTGTCCAATAAATCACGCTGCAATTGGTGTCCATCCCTCAGTTGCTGGGGTCAAGGTCCTCTCCAGATACCAAGCAGAGTCCTGTGGGCCTGACCATGGCCCAGCTCCCAGCACACCCTGACATGTGCAACACACAGGGGGAGCCTGTGGGGAGTAGGGAAGGCGAGGAGAATATTTGCTCTCCAGTTTGGGTGAGGCCTGATTTAAGTCCATTTGCCAAGCTGCTTGCCTGTTACCAGAGCAGGTGAAGTCTGGGCGTGCTGGGCTTGGACTCTCCCTACTGGGGGCCTTCACGTCTGGCGCCCGAAGTTTGGTGGGTTCCTGTGGGAAGCCTCTTTTCAAGCTCAGAAGGTGCGAGGGCAGTCAGGTGAAGGTGGGTGTGTCACGGGACATGGCTGGCACCCCGGATGACAAGTTCCTGTTTTGCTCCTCCCTCCTCCCAGTCTGGGCCTAAGTGAATGGCAACAAAAAGACGAGGAGAGCAAAGGGGTGCGTTCAACAGAAAGGAGATTAGTGGTGGTCCTAGTCTCCCCTTTCCTGGGCCATACTCCAGATATCCCAGGAGGCCTTGAAGGGTTGAAGGAAACCCACTGAGCCAGAAGCTGCGGTTTGGGGAGAAGTTTAATGGAACAGCAGAAGAGGGCTTGAGTTCACAGAGAGGCAGGCCGTCCAGCTGGGCTCTGCCCGCTTCACGCCCGGCATCCCACCCCGGGTGCCTGAGGAGAGATTTACTCTTAGTCCCCTCCACAGGGTTGGGCACGTGGGGAGAAAGGACCTGAGTCACACTAGCTTCGAGGGCTGAGAAGCTGGTCCTTCTGGCCTGGGGCAAGAAACCCCATGCCACAGTGAGGCGTTCGGGGAACAGGGTGGACCAGCCGGTGACAGTGGCCACAGGAGCAGTATCTTGTCCCCATTTTGGCTGCACTGGAAACTGATGTGCCTGGCACTGCCCTCACCCCCAGCTAGAGCAGCATTTCAGTCAAAAGGGGGGCCAAGGGGGTGGGTGCCACCAGGCTGCCAGTAAGTACTGTACGTGGCTGGGCTCCCTGGGGATGGGTCCAGAAGCTCCCAGGACCACGAGCCCCTCTGCACCCACCCAGGGAAGCGACGGGCAGCTTAGAGTCAGGCGTCCTCCCCAGCCAACCTTTCCACTCCAGTGGGGGTAAAACAGCTGTGGCCTCCTCCAGTGAGGGAAAGTGGTGGGTGTAGGGCTGGACTTGCTGGCTGAGCTTGCAGGACAATCTGGTTATTCATCTGCTCAGCAGTCAGGGCACTTCTTTGAGTATGTGGGGGAAGGGTGAGGATCAGAGAGCCCAGATAAGCTGGCCCCAGGGCGGCTGCCACTAGAACTCAGGTTATCAGAAAGGCCCTGGGCCTGGCCCCAGGCTAATTGGGAAGGTTATAGACCCTGCCATAACCTGTAATCAGCTGGAAGTGAGAGCTGGGCCCCCAGGCAGTTGGCCCCACTGGCCCTGGCCCCCACAGATAAGATCCAGGACATATCCACCTCCCCCCACATCCAAGCAGACCTCATGACAGCATTACCTAGAAGGTCATCGGAACATGAATCTAAATGCAGCCAGACCTGGTGACCTTGAGGGAGCCACGTGACCTCCCCGATTCTCAAAGCACCACTTGCTCAGTGGGCAGAGTACTGTGGACGCCCTCTCAGTCCCACAGAGGGAAGGTATCTTCATGATCTGCAGAGGCTGGTGGGAGCTGGGCTGGCAACTCAAAAGCAACACCACTGTCTGGGCTTGAGGTAAGAAAAGGCCCAGTGGTTCCCAGGCAGGTTCAGACACAAGCACCACACCGGGGCCAGCTCCCCTGCAGGCGTGGAGGCCAGGCCAACAGCCACGACTGGGGCTGGTTTCTCCAGGCTAATTTTTTATTTTGGAAGGTCAGAGACTTCGTAAACTAGAAGGGACCTGAGAATGCTCTTGGGTCCCTGTTAAGCAGATGACAAGTCTGAATCTCAGAGAAGAGCAAGGCCTTGCCCAAGGTCATGGAGTGACACAGGCAGCTGGCCCCCTCTATACCTTGCTGCCTCACACACCCCAACCAGTCCCCTTAGAAGGGCCCAAAATCTGAGCTGAACTCTGTCCTGGGCTCCCACGGGACTCACCCCGCTGATCCTTGTGCTGTACCCCTTCCAACTCCCCGCCTGGTCCCTGGCTAGCTTTGAAGCTGTTGCCTTGCTGCTGTGTAACTGGGAAGCAGTGGCTCCTGCAGACCTGCACCTGTATGCCCTAGAGACAAAGCAAGAGCGCTTCCTGTACATCTTGTATTCAAAGCAGGAGCCCAGCAGAGGGTGGGGGCCCTGGAGTGTCCCTGTGGCCTCCCTCACCCATGGCTCTGTAGCCAGCAGCAGTGGCATCATCTTCTAAGGAGTGGATCTAGGTGTGATCCTCCTAAGGTCCCAGGGCCCCAGGTGAGCTCTGCCACCAGTAGCCACCTGACCTTGAGTGAAAGAACGCACCATTGGGCTTCAGGGTGCCTGTCTATAAAAGAGAGGAGTGGGGAACAGGAGCAGAGTGACAGCTTAAGCAGGCTAAGGGGAAGCTGCAGGTCAGAAGAGCAAAGGGTGATTTGGAGGTGCTGAGGATGACACGCCAGGCCAGGCAGATCACTGGGCTGGGGCATAGGAGGGTCTGGGGCGGCTCAGCTGGCGCCCAAACTGTTTCCCCAAAGCTGCTCCAGAGAATCCCAAAGCAAATCAACTTCCTGGTGAGTGCTGGCAGACCAACCCCGCCCCTCTGTCGCAGGTGGGCCGGTGCTAGAGGGTCTTTCCTGAGCTTTACCCCCTCTCTCTAGCCACTCAGCAGAATGCCAGTTCATGGTCCTGCGATCCTAGACACCTGCACCCCTATCTTCTGCTGCGCATGTCCATGCACACGCAGGTTCAAGACGCGCACTTCACTTTTGCAGTCCCCCGCCTCCTAAGTGGACAACCTCGACCCGCGAAACCGCGGCCCAGAGCAGTGAGTAGTCGGCAGGTCCCAGGGTTATGGGTACCCCAAACTCTGGGAAGTCGCCCAAAGTGGGGCAGGGATTCGCGGCCTGGTTTCCCCCGCTTGTTCAGGACCTCTCAGGTGCAGAGCGACGCCCCTGAGAGCCGAGTCTATCCCGGCCCATCGCAGCCAGACTGGCCCTCGCCTTGCATCGTCCTGGGAGAAGGCGGCCAGACCCAACTGGAAGAAGTGGTCCGGCCAGTCCCGGCCCAAGACCGCGGCCAGGAGGGGGTCGGGCCGCCCACCCAAGCCCATTGGTCCGACCCTGCGCGGTGTAATTGGGGCGGGGGGGAGGCGACCGGCGGGCGGCGGCTCCAGAGAAACTGCGCGCCTGTCAGCCACAATTTGTGTAAGAGGACGGGACAGGCCAGGCCACTGCGGGCTGGGGTCACCGAGGCCGCGGCCCACACCCCGGCCAGACTCCGGACCGCGGGGGAGCCCCGCCGGGCCGCTAAACCGGGCTGGCTGGCGCCAAGACTCTGGGAGGCGCGGGTCCAGCAGAGAAGCCGGGTAGGAAGCAGCTCTGTCGCGGGCGTGTCCCCCCCCCCACGTCGAGACGCGCCCAGTGGCACCCACAGCTGGTCACCCACACAGGGCCACTCGAGTCACCGAGCTCAGCCTTGGCACGTGCATTGCCGCCGGAAGCTCAGGGCCAGGCTCAGGCCGGCGCCGGGTCACTCGCAGGCACGTCCGTCCCCTCGGCCACACGCGCTGAGCGCACCCGCCAGCCACGCCACGCGGGCTCACGCAAACCCACACCCGTCACACAGCGGGGACACCAGCGGGGACGCTGCCGCTCTGAGGATCAACCCTGTGGAGGGCCCAGCAGTGTCCCTGGCCCCTGCAAGAGGTTACAGAGCCGAAGGACAGACGGGCAGGCTCGGGACTGCAGCCCCGTCCCGCGCGGGCTGTCCCCTCCTGACAGGGACCACGCGCGACGGGCCCAGCCGGAGGCCGCTCCGACGCCCGCGCCCGACCGCCCCAGAGGGAGGGGCCGCCCGCGCGTCCCCCGCCCGTCTGCGGGGCCCGGGCGATGCGAAGTGACAGGGGCCGGAGCTTTGTTGTGGAGCCTCGGCCGCCTGGCGCCAGCCGCCCCCGCCCGTGTCTTCCCCCTCCAGCCCCGGGCGGCCCGCGAGGCGCCCCCCGGGGCCTCTTAAAGAGACACGCACACTCGGCCCCGGGGACTCCCCCGGGGCGTCAGTTCCTGGGAAGGGAGGGGCCCAGGCGGGGGAGGGGCGGGTGCTGGGAGCCTCGTGGCGGCGCTCAGGGACTGCCTTGAATCTCCAAGCTCGAGATGGGGCGGGGGTCAGCACAGAACCTTGAGAGCCGCTGCGGCCCGACCTGGGGCGACTGCAGGACGGCGGGGCGGGGCAGATGGTGGGATCCCAGGCCGGGACGAAGCTTGTGACGCCGCGGGGCAGGGCCGCGGTTTTGTAGGTGGGGTGGCGGATCCCAAACGCAGCCACTACGCTATCGCCCTTGGGTTTCTTGGGCAAACAACTCAGGCCTGCGTGTTTGCAACTCCAGGGTCTTCCATCTCTTGGGCCAGCTGCAGACTCTACCCGGGGAAATGTCCAAAATGCACACGCTTAGATGCACACGCATCCTTACCAGCACGAAAGCACACATCCACACGCGCGTGCACACACACATGCGACTTTGCAAATGTATTCAGGGATTCTCAGGCCCGCACCTGAGCACTTGGCTATCACTTGGTCGCCTCACCGACCATCCAAGCGCGGCCACACACCTCCCTCCCCGGGGGGCCACATCCCCTCCAAGTTGAAGGCTATGCAAAGCTACAGCGGATCGCTCCCTGGGTGCGTGGACTGTTCTGCGTGGGGGGCAAGACTCACTCTGAGCACACAGGGTACTGAGAGGAGCGAGGTCGTGAAGAACCCTCTGGGGCCGGCCCCCACGTGTGCATGGCGATGGGGAATTACAAAGGCCATGGAACTGGCTAAGAAAAAGTGGGGGGAAAGGCCGCAGAGGCCAAATCGCTCTTGCCGGTCCCAACCCCGCACCCGGGGGAGCGATCGGCCTTTAACAACTGGGTCCCTACACCGGCTGGCGCAGAAGGCTGTGAGGGTCACCGCTGGACGTGGGAGCGGGCATCCGGCCCAGGCGGGCTACACCACAGATTGGCTGCGCGGGTGGGAGTGTCACCCGTGGCCAGGGCAGGCTTGAATTGTCCTCCAGAACACGACCCTCGGGAGTCAGCCCAAGAGACCGCCCGCCGGAGTCCGATTTGAGGCAGGTGTGTGGTCGCTTTACTCTCTCGGGGCACACCTGGAGTTGTGGCTTTCGTTGCACACACTGGGCTCGAAACACACACACACACACACACACACACACACACACACACACACACCGCGGCGTGGGTTGAGGTCCTGGGGCTGCTGGAAGACGAGACGGGAGAGCACTGATTGCGGAGGGGGGATTTCAACCACAGACGTTCAGACACTTCGACTTCCGCACTCCTGAACTTGGGAGACCAGCGCTCCTCAAAGACGGAAAGAAACTAGAAAAGCGGCTGGGAGCCGAGGCAGGATGCCAGTGTTTGGTAAAAGGGAGACTTGCGATCCCAGTACCGGATGCGGCGAAAACGAAAATTCGTTCGGTCGCGGGTGGAGGATCTGGCGGCTGTGATCAGCCCGCGCGGGGCCGCCTTGGGCGCAGGCGAAGGTGCGCTCACCTTCCCGGCCGGAGCGCCTGCGTCCCGGACGCCGGGGGCTGACACGGACCGACCTCGGGCTGAGTCCAGGGGTGGTCGGCAACGCCGGATACCTCCGGGGTCTTCCTGTGGGACGAGCCGCGGGCCAGAGGGACCCTGCGTTTGCCCGGCGCAAGGCCGCGTCCCTCCCGCCCTCGCGGGCCCCACGAGGGCTGTGCCACGGCTCCACTCACCAGCTCCCGCCACCTGGGTTCCGCTCCGGGACCTCAGCCTCCGGAGCCTCCCGACTTGCCCGCCCACTGGCCTCGCTTTCCTGCGCCCGCAGCCTCCCTGTGGAGTGCGGGGACCCGGGCGGCGACCAGGAGCCGAGTCGGAGGCCAGGCTGGGGCGCCGGCCGGAGCAGCCGGGCTTCCGGGCGCGGGAGAAGGAGGGCGCCCCCTCTCCTCTCAGGGACGTGTCAGTGCTTTGCACTTGGGGCCGGCACGCGGCTAGGGGTCCTTCCCTGAGGCCCTCGGCCCTGGCGCCCCCCGCCTCGGCCCTTTCGGCGGGTCAGGTCGGCCCTCCACGCTTCCAAGTCCCGGCGCTAGCAGCCGCGGGCGCGGGCGCGGGCGCGGGCGCGGGGTGGGGGCCCGGCCAGGGGGAGGGGTCTCAGGCCCGTCGGGCCGTCATTGGTTAATATTTTATTCCGTTGACATGTTTTCTTACTGCTGAGGCTTCCGACACCTTCTCCCCGGCCCCCCCTCCCGGCCGGAGCTTGGCCTGAGCTGTCAAAACCCCGCCCCCGGAGACCCACAATTGGTCCAAAAAGCGTAAAATCAGCAATCAAGGGGGGCCTGGCTCGTTAGCGCAGGGGATCGGAGCAGGGCAGGGCATGTGAGATAGTCACAGTTTTCCAGAGATCACGACAAGATCTAACCAGTCGCGCGTGGTCCCCGGCGCCGGAGCGGGTCAGCCCAGCCCAGCCCCGAGCAGAGCCCCTCCGCCCCCGCATCAGAGCCCCGCGCCCCTTGCGGAGCGCGGGACGGGGAGCCGGGAGGAGCCTCCGCCGCGCCCGCCGCCCGGGCCGTCCGTCTTCCGCGCGCGCCGCCGCCCGGGCCGGGGGTCCGAGCCGCGCGCCCCCGGCCCCGGCCCCCAGGCGCCTGGGCCGGATGTCCCGATGAGAGAGCCGGCGCTGGCAGCCAGCGCCATGGCTTACCACCCATTCCACGCGCCGCGGCCGGCCGACTTCCCCATGTCCGCTTTCCTGGCGGCGGCACAGCCCTCCTTCTTCCCGGCGCTCGCGCTGCCGCCCGGCGCGCTGGCCAAGCCCCTGCCCGACCCGAGCCTGGCGGGGGCGGCGGCGGCGGCGGCGGCGGCTGCAGCTGGGCGGCCGAGGCGGGGCTGCACGTCTCGGCTCTCGGCCCTCACCCGCCCGCCGCGCATCTGCGCTCCCTCAAAAGCCTGGAGCCCGAGGACGAGGTGGAGGACGACCCGAAGGTGACGCTGGAGGCCAAGGAGCTGTGGGACCAGTTCCACAAGCTGGGCACGGAGATGGTCATCACCAAGTCCGGGAGGTAGGGCGGCCGGGCCCTGGGGGCGGCGGGCAGCGGGCAGCGGGCAGCGGGCAGCGGGCGGGCCCGGGGATCCGACAGCACCCACCCGCCGAGCCCACGCGCCACGCGGCGCTCCGCAGACAACCAACTTGCGTTTCTAGTTTGCCACCCGGGCGAATTTTAAAAGAAAAAAAAAATAACGCGAACAAATCCCTTAGTGAAGTAAAACGAAAACGTACTCCTAAAGAATAGCCCCAGCCGTTCTGGGTCTCAAAGCCAAAGAGTCGCCCTCGGCCGGCCTTGCTGGTCTCCTCAGCTCAGCGGTCTGGCTTCTATGCCTGTGGGTCGATTTGTAGCTCCAGGGAGGTGCAGCGTTTACCGACTCCCTGGCCCGACCTTGAGAGTCCACTAGCCTCAGGCCCCAGCTCCGATCCCAGCAGCAAGCCGAGTGAGCCCTCAGCCAGATGGCTGGGAGTCTTGTCCTGGCCGGGAGCTCGGCCCAAGGGACCCATTCGCTGCCCCAGGCCTGGGAGCCAGAAGGAAGCCACCATCCCCAGCCCTTCCACTTAGCCATTAAGAATGCAGGCCTCAGTCGCACCCTCTTCCCCTGAGCTGCAGAGTCAGTTCCCTGACCAGGGCTGTACCCTGGCCCCCAAAGCAAACGCCTTCTAAATTTATTTCCGAGAGTGCTGTACCTGCTGTGTACTTTCAACGAATTTCAGGGAGATTCAGTAGAAATCAGTGTATTTCTAGAGGGCCTAGATTTCTTTCTTGGATGTGGCTTTCATCTCAGATCAGGAAGTGGGTCCCCAGGTCTGAGCCCAAGGACAAGGGCAGGCCTTATGAGAAGGGGTCTGACCAGCAGAAATGGGATCTCCCTGGAGTAGCTGCCATAGATTGGGTCTCCCGAGAGACAGGGCAGCCAGACAACAGTACAGGCAAATGGAGACCCGCCAGGCTGTTTTGCATACAGTTGGGGTAGAGGTCAGTGAGAATAGGGGTCCTCCAACACGAAGAGCCCTGTCCCAGCGGCATCTCCCCCTTCTTTCCCTCCGAGGCGGATGTTCCCCCCCTTCAAGGTACGAGTCAGTGGCCTGGACAAGAAGGCCAAGTACATCCTGCTGATGGACATTGTAGCCGCTGATGACTGCCGCTATAAATTCCACAACTCCCGCTGGATGGTGGCAGGCAAGGCCGATCCAGAGATGCCCAAACGCATGTACATCCACCCGGACAGCCCAGCCACCGGGGAGCAGTGGATGGCCAAGCCTGTGGCCTTCCACAAGCTAAAGCTGACCAACAATATCTCCGACAAGCATGGTTTCGTGAGTCCCGGGGGTGCAGGGAGAGGGTTGAGAAACTGAGCCGTCCCTCCACAGCTAGGTGGTTAGAGGAGGGCAGCAGGATTCCACATCCATCGGGAGTACTGGCCAAACCCCCAGGGCACCCTGCCTGTGCCACTGCCCTGTGCCCTGGGCTGGCTGAGCCTGAGACTCTACCAGCTCTACCGGGCTCTGCTCTACCAGCCTGGGGAAGGGCTGGATGGTGGCAGATAAGGTCGAGCTTCTCACAATCTCAATTCCGGTAAGGCCTTGAGTGCCTCTCCTAGCATCAAGCCAGAGGCAGGTGCTGTGGGGACTGGCTTGAGCAACATTGGTCCTGGGGAGGTCACCCCACTCTTGACCCGGAGGTGCTGACCTTGAAAAACCTGCCCAAGACCTCCATGTGACTCTCACCCTTCCCCAAGACTAGGGGATTTAAATATGAACTTAGCCCCCCTACAGCCTCCCTGAGATCTTTCCCTCCCCTCACAGGAAAGTTGCCAACCAGGGAGGAGAGAGTGTGGGGGCCTCTCCATTTCTGCCTGAGCCAAGGTCCCAGAAAATGGTGGGAAGGGCCAGGTTGGGTGGGGCAAGGGGAGCTGCCAGTCCCGAGGTAGGGCAGCCGGTACCCTCCCTCCAGGAGTCCTCTCCGTGCGATTTCTGGGGCTTAGCAATGCCAAGAGGAAGAAAGGTGAAGAGTGAAATTGGGTTCTTTTTCTGCTTTATTTTATTTCTGTTTCCAACTGGGGGAAATTTTAATGGAGAAAGAGAAGCTGTAGGAAAGAAAAGCGTGAGAAAATAGAAGAAAAAGAAATACAAGTGAGAAAAAGCAGAAAAGAGGAGAGAAAGGGGTGAAAGTCAGAACCAAGAGAGAAGGGGTGGAGAGAAAGGCGGAGGAAAAAGTCTGCTCTCCAGCAAGGGCTGGGGGCTGCTGCCTGACCCACACCGCCCCCCCCCAGACCATCCTGAACTCCATGCACAAGTACCAGCCCCGCTTTCACATCGTGCGAGCCAACGACATCCTGAAGCTGCCCTACAGCACTTTCCGAACCTATGTGTTCCCGGAGACCGACTTCATCGCGGTCACGGCCTACCAGAATGACAAGGTGCGCTGGGTGGGTGGTGGGCTCGGCCCCCAGATGGCGCAAGGTCCAACCCAACACACGTTCACCTCTGTGCTCCCGTGCTCTCTGCCCATCCCTGAGCTCTGAGTCTTTCATCCATAAGAGCTGCACCCAGAAAAACCCCACACCCTCTCTCAGACCCACACGTGGGCACACTCCCGAGGGCACTCGAACAGCTGGGCACTAGTTCGCTAGTTCTCGGGTGGAGATGTTTACCTAGCAATAAACAGAGATTCTGACCAGCGCTGACATTTTTACATTTTATTCGTTTATTTCTTGGCTCAGGGATGGGAATTTAAAGGAAAAGAGGACATCCCAGGCAGCCTGCCCAAGCTGTGCCGGAGCTAAGAACTCAGGGCCCCGATTTCATTCTCCTGAGGGAGCCAGAGGGTGGGACAGGTGGCACAGCCCCCCAAAGCACCCCCTGGGTAGTACTCCGAGTCAGTCCAGGACCCAGACCCTTTGGGAGATGCTGAGAATTTTCCTTCGATTTCAAGGGCTTTCTACTTGCTGCTTTTCTACTCTCTCCTAGTGGAGCAGAGCACGGTCCCCACTAGGCCTGTGGCCCTGAGCCCTGCTGCCCAGTGAAAGAGGGTCTGTGCAGGTCCTTGTGTCTCCGTGAACCAGGGTGTTTCCTGGCAGGCCTGCACCATTTAGGGTGCCTCGGATCTGGGTGGAAGCATGTGAATTCGTTTGGGTCTGTGTGTGGTTTTTTCCCTGTATTTATGTGTGGGTGCGTGGACCGGGGTGTGAGGATTTGGCTCTGCCTGCACCTGCAGACTTGCGTGTGCGCTGCTGAGTCCATGCGTGCCTGCTCGGGCTCGGAGCAGTTTAACCTGCGAGACCACACTGGCTTGTTTGCTCGGTTGGGCCGATTTCGACTCTGAGCACGGCTTTGGGCCTGTGTGTGCGTGTTAAGGGATTATTTGTTGAACTGTGTCTTTCCTCGATACCTGCCTGCCGGCCTCACCTCAGGGTGTCACCATGGCAGGGAGTCACCAAATCCTGGGTCTCCACACAGCAGCCGGGCAGCTGCTGACCTCGGGGTGCCCCTGGCTGGCTGGAAGAGCCAGGTCCTGACCTAGTGGTGCCTTCTCGGTCCCCACAGATTACACAGCTGAAGATCGACAACAATCCGTTTGCCAAGGGCTTCCGGGACACCGGGAATGGCCGCCGGGAGAAAAGGTGAGGAAGAGTCCGACGGCCTGTGGCGGGTGCCCGGCTGCAGGAGGCCAGAGGAGGGTGTGTGTGCTCTCTGCTGACTGGCTCCCTCTGCTCATCTCCAGGAAGCAGCTGACGCTGCCCACTCTGCGCTTGTATGAGGAGCACTGTAAGCCGGAGCGCGATGGTGCTGAGTCTGACGCCTCGTCTTGCGACCCTCCCCCTGCTCGGGAGCCCCCACCTTCCCCGGGCGCAGTGCCCAGTCCCCTGCGCCTGCACCGGGCCCGAGGTGAGGGTCGGATTGTTGGTGGGGTGAGGAGAGGGAGCAGGCAAGCAGGAGGGCGTCCCCTGAGGGCACCAACCTGGTCCTTTGCTCAGCCCAGCTAATTTTCAAGCCCTGGGGAGAAGCGTGAATTGTGTGTGGGGGGGAAGGGTTCCAACCTGGGGCTCCGTCTGCTGTGTGACTGACTGGTTTCTGGTGGCCAGAGCATCGGGCTGGATTCCGAGCTTGGCTTGCAGGCTGTGCAACTCTGGCAATTAGGTTTCCTCTCCACTGGCAGTAAGGTTTTCCTAAATGTCTTCCACTGTAAACATGAGGTCTTGGATTAGCTGACTGCGGGCTGCCCCGCGTCCCACTGTAGAGGCGCATCTGACTGGACCTCCCCGAGAACTGACCTTTTCCCCGCGCGTCCTCTCCCCACAGCTGAAAAGACGTGCGCCGCAGACAGCGACCCTGAGCCCGAGCGGCTGGGTGAGGAGCGCGCCAGGGTGGCCCTGGGCCGCAGCCCAGCTCGGGACAGCGCCAGCCCCCCTCGTTTGACAGACCCGGAGCGCACCCGGGAGCGACGCAGTCCCGAGAGAGGCAAGGAACCGGGGGAGAGCAGCGGGGACGGCCTTTTTGGCCTGAGGAGCCTGGAGAAGGAGCGCGCCGAAGCCCGGCGGAAGGATGACGGGCGCAAGGAGGGAGCTGAGGGCAAGGAGCCCGGCCTGGCGCCACTGGTGGTGCAGACAGACAGTTCATCCCCCCTGGGCGCCGGACATCTGCCGGGCCTGGCCTTCTCCAGCCACCTGCACGGCCAGCAGTTCTTTGGGCCCCTAGGAGCCGGCCAGCCGCTCTTCCTACACCCAGGACAGTTCACCATGGGCCCCGGCGCTTTCTCTGCCATGGGCATGGGTCACCTGCTGGCCTCGGTGACAGCAGGAGGTGGCAGTGGAGGAGGCGCCGGGCCGGCCACCGCAGGGCTGGACGCAGGCGGGCTGGGTCCCGCAGCCAGCGCAGCAAGCACCGCGCCCTTCCCATTCCACCTCTCCCAGCACATGCTGGCATCTCAGGTAAGGCTGGGGAGCAGGAGGCAGCCCAAAGGAGGGAACCAAGGTGATGGGGGGGGGGGGCTGAGGAGGGCAGAGGGCTTGCAGGTGTCTTAGGTGCCTGGACCCTCCAGGAGCCCAGATCACAGTTCTGGGAGAATCCGTGGACACTTATCTGGTCAGTCTCAAAGACAACCAGGTTCTGAGAGATTAAAGCTGTTGGCCTAGGTTCTGGCTACTGTGTGACCGTTGGTGAAGTGTCTGACCGTCTCTGGGCCTGTTTCTTTCCCTAGAGCCCCAGTAAGGAGTGTGGGAACCCATTAATAAGAGTCTTGAGCCATAGAAGGTGGTGTACTCCTGTACTCTCAGCTATTCCAGAGACGGAGGCAGGAGAATAAGAAGTTCGAGGCCAGCCTAGGCAATTTAGTGGCTTAGCATGACCCTGTCTCACAATAAAAAATAAAAAGGACTGGGGATGTAGCTCAGTGGGAGAGCACTTGTTCAGCACAATAACAGGCCCTGGGTTCCACCCTAAGTGTGTGTGTGGGGACTCTTGGGGTTGCCCCTGGCTTTTGTGTAGTCTATGCTTCTGGCCTCAAGAAATTTGTTTTGGGAAGGAAGATAATTTTTGTCTCAATGTCAGTTTGGAAAGGTTAAGTTGGCTGGACAAAGAGAAAAGGAAAATTTGCATTATTTTCTGGATATTTGACAACCAAAAGGATCCACCTCCCAGATATTTCTAGCCTATTTCAAGCTCTCTAAGGAGTCCTCTGTCCTGACGAAGGACAGGCTCAGTCTTTCCCCCACCTCAAGTCCTCCCAATACTCCCAGCCACATCTCAGGAAAGGAGCGGGCTCAGTTCCCCCAGGGCCCCCTTGAAACTGACCTCCCAGGGGAGAGTTTATGAAAATGTGGCCAGCAGCACAATAAGGACTTGATCCGATGGGGAAGCGGCCTCTTTGGTTACTTGGGTGGAATATTCCTTATGGAAAGATTTGGAATCTCTTCATTCATTTTCTTCCCTCTGAGGTTTCTGGCAAATTGAACCCTTGAGATCTTATCTGAAGGGAAGGAAAATAGGAGTTCAGGTCTGAGAAAGCGCCTTTGGTTCAGGAGCAAATATTTTTGAAGTGGGACAGGGGGTGGGGGCTCTGAAATAAGTTTTCAACCCAGCTCAGCATCTGGGTGTGTGGAGTGTTTGAGGCACCAGCATCCTGTGGAAGGCCCTGGAGAATCTGGTCTGGGGTCTGGAAGGTTCATCTGCCCCCTTGACTGTGCTTGAGTGTGTGTGTGTGTGCGCACGCGAATGCCTCCTCCATAAACGAATTCTGGAGATGGTCATGGGCATTATAGAGGTCACCAGGGAAGCCGGGGCTCCTGCACACAGCCTGGTGAGCAGGTGCAAGGCCAGCGTGAGAGTACCCAGCTCAGGAGGCATCTGTTGGTAGAACTGGTGGTGGGTTAGTTCCCAGGCTGGTGCTAGCAGGTAGAGCAGATCCTTGCAGATCTGAAACCTCTTCCCAACCAAGATACCAGATCTGAAATGCTCTGTGGGCCTTGACCCTCTCAGGAAGCGTGTTTTCTCCCTCATCTAGGTGCTTCCCCCACTCCCCCTACACTCTAGAGAGTGAGCCATTATCTCAAAGGTCAGATAATCCAAAAGTCGGCCCTCGGCCCTAGGGAGCTCAGGGGTGTTTGTCCAGGGTTTCCTGGCCAGCTCTGCTATCCACAGGCAAAGACTGCATTCTTCCCTAACCTGCCAGTTACTTGTGGAACATTCAGGCCCATTTATAAACCCCTGCCCCTTGTGCCCTACTCCTGGCCCAGGCAAGAGACCACGCTCGAGCAGGTGAGCAGGCAGGAGAGTTTACCCGGCTCCTCCCTCAGACTGAACTCCCCCAGCTCTTCTAGAATAGGAAAGACACTGTTGCAAATGACCAGAACCTCCTAAGACGCCACCCCCCTGGCGCTCTGCCTGCCCGGTCCTCCTCTAGGCCTTTGCCTGTGCCAGTTCAGCCACCTGCCATGTTCTTCCCCTCACACCTGCTGTGACAGCCAGCACAGAGCTTGATGGCACCTGGCCTTTTCGTCACGCCTTGGGTGATGTGCACCCTAACTGGGTTTGGGTGTGCGCACACTGGCTCATGTCTTCCTCTGCTGCCTGTGGTTTTAGTTACTGGAGTTCTGGTTTTCTGTCCTGAAACAGTGGGACAAGGTTTACCAGCTGTAGCCTACAGGCCACCCTCAGAAACTCCTCCCTCAGGTGTCTAACCCTTGTTTTGTTCTGTTCCTTCCAGGGAATCCCAATGCCCACCTTCGGAGGCCTCTTCCCATACCCCTACACCTACATGGCAGCAGCTGCCGCAGCCGCCTCCGCTTTGCCGGCCACTAGTGCTGCGGCTGCAGCCGCGGCTGCCGCAGGCTCCCTATCCCGGAGCCCCTTCCTGGGCAGTGCCCGGCCCCGCCTGCGCTTCAGCCCCTACCAGATCCCGGTCACCATCCCGCCTAGCCCCGGTCTCCTCACTACTGGGCTGGCGGCGGAGGGCTCCAAGGCTGCAGGTGGCAACAGCCGGGAACCCAGCCCCCTGCCCGAGCTGCCTCTCCGAAAAGTCGGGGGTCCATCGAGAGGTGCCCTGTCACCCAGCGTCTCCGCCAAGGAGGCAGCCAGTGAACTGCAGAACATCCAGAGACTGGTGAGCGGGCTGGAGAGCCAGCGAGCCCTCTCGCCAGGCAGGGAGTCGCCCAAGTGAGGGGCTGCCCCGCTGCTCGCTGCTCGCTGCTCGCTGCCATGCAGGCCTCCAGGGCTGCCTGCCCCTACTGCTTGGAACGTGTACAGCACAGAATGGGTATTTATTTAAATAAAGGAGAACAGCGGGCTGCAGCAGCCAGAATAGAGCCTCTTCTGGCAAGCGGGCGTCCGGGGCACTTCCCCGGGCCTCAACCAGGAATCAGGCTACCTGGAACACAGTCGCTTTGGAGCCAGTGGACTCGGTCCAGACCTGCTCCAGCATCCATCAAGGTGACACCAGTGGGATCTCCAGTCTTCTGCGCTGTGTGGGAAGCCTCACCCCAGCCCCAGGTCCTTTCAGAAGCCCGAAGGTGCTCCGGCCAGCGGTGGGAGCTTCGGAGTGAGTCCCGGGCCCCTGGCCTTGGGCCTGGACCTCCTGAGAAATTGGGGGGAGGGGGCTGGAGCGGGAAAAGACCCAAGTCAGTGTAGACTGGAGCTGGCGGTGGGGGGGGGGCTGTCCTTTTAGTTCCCCCACCTCTCGCCCCCAGACAGGCGCCCCTCGAACTCCTGGCCAGCGGAGGAAGTGGCTCTTCTGCCTTGAGTCCCCAGGGGAAAAAAGATATTTATAAAATAAATGGTAATTTGTGTAAATAAGCTTTAAGATTCCCAGAATATGCAAATTGGTATTAATTTATTCAAAGGTGTACATTGCTGTGTACATATATTTAGAGATTAACTCATAGCATTTAATTTTTTTCATCCTCCATGAGCATCTGTATTGTACAGGGCGGGGTGGGGGTCCTTGGCCGGGGGAGCCGCCCCCCCAGCCCCCAGCCCCGCAGGAGGAGCCACCCCGCCGGCCCCTCAGCCCCTCCACCCGGGCTTTGCTGGCCCGGCCCGCGGGCTCCACCTCAGGTTTTCACTTTTCGCTCCGAAGCGAGAACGCAACGACAAAAATGCGAGAAAATAATAAAACGCTACCATGCGAAGTGAACGGCGCTGTGCGCTCTGTGGGTTGCGCGGGGCTGGGGCGCTGCACGCGCATGAGGTGGGACCCGAGGCTGGGCGCCCCCTAGGGGGGCGGCAGCTGCGTTCCGGGGCTGTGGCTCGGCTCAGCCGCGTTCGGGATGCGAGGCCGGCCTGCATGGGAACGGGGCTCAGGCTGGGTCAGGGGGCGCCGAGCCTCTCGCGCCCCCCGCGTCCCCAGCGGGGGCCGCGTCCAGGCTGGGGCTGGGGCGCCCCCTGCTGGTCACTCGCCACCCCTCCTGCCCCTCGGCGTCTGGAGCTGCGCCCTGGAGCCAGGCGAAGCGCGAGGGACCCCTCATCGCCGACTCCCGTTCTGCGGCGCCACAGAGGAAATGCACCCCCTTTCAACGCTTCTGGGTGGGTGGGCTTGGAAAATGGGTGCTCTTGGTCCCTCTGCCCTCGAGGAGGGATTGGCCGCGGGCCCCAGAATTCTTTCCCGTCTCTGCTTTCTGGACCTCAAAAAGAAAGTTTGTCAGTGACAGGGCTTTTGAATGGAGGGGCAAAGTCAAGCCTAAGAATTCTTCCTTGTAACTCGTTTAAATCTCTCTTGGAGTGTGAGTAGTGTGGGGCAACAACCTTTTCCCTTGGGCGTATAGCTCAGTGGTGCAGCGCTTGCCTGTCTTGAGTAAGGCTCTGAGTTCTGTTCCCAACACTGCAACAACATCATTCCTTTCTGTCTCAGTTTCCTCTGTGTAATAATTGGGGCTTTCCCTGGAGTTTCCACCGTCAGTCTCCTCATTAGGCTGGTCCTTCCCTGCGACCCATTCCTGCAAGGACGGCCTGTGAGGTCCGAGAGCGGCATCTTCCCTTCTCCCGGGTGGCAGGTGTCCTAAACCCGAAATCCTAGCGGCAGGGGTGGGAGATGTGCGGTCACTCCTTCAACGTCCCCTGGGCTCCTCCGTCACTTTGCGCCCCATCTCCTTCCCAGTTCTCACCTGTTTACGTCTCAGGGATCCTGACGCCCTAGCCGAGCAGGGTACCCGCCTGGGGTGGGCGCTAGTTTCCAGCTCACCCACGCACATCGAGGACAGTGACATGAGGGGTGAAGGCAGAGGTGGAGTTGACAGTTTCGGCCTTCTTCTTGGCCGACAAGGACACACTTGCAAGGAAAGAGAACCATGCACGCCCACCTCTCCCGGGAAGGGAGTTGGCCCAGGCCAGGGTGAATTTGGCAGGGTGTGTGGGGGAGGGCAGGGCGCGGCCAGTGCCCCTGAGGGGCCGCAGGAGACCTTGCCAACCCCCAAGGTGGGTTCCAGCTTCGGCGGCTTCCCAGTCTCTGACCTGCTAGAGGGTGGAGGAAAGGGAGGCCCAGGGGCCAGGCGGGGACTGGAAGCCCTTTTCTCAGCCCCAGTAGATCCCTCCACACTTACACCCTCAGAGTGTATTTATTCGAGGGCGCTCCGGGCTAAAGCGTCTCTAGCATTCGGAGCGCAGGGGCGCCCGGTTCCGGCGGTGTCTCCCTTTCCGCGGAGCTGGGAAGGGCGCGGAGCAGAACGCGCGTCCCCGGGGCCTGGGCGCCGGCCGCCAACGCCAGGGGGCAGCAGCCATCAAGCGGGGGGGGGGGGGCGGCCGCAGGCGGCGTGGCCTGGTGGCTGGGCTTTCCGCTGGTTGCCGCAGCAACCCGAGTGGGGTGGGTGGGATTTCAGGGCTCCGGGCGCCGCTGATGTGACGGGTCCCCACCGCCGGGTCCCGTCTCGGAGTCGCGCACCGGCGCTGAGCGAGGCCCCCGCTGCTGCCTGAGGCCGCGGCCGGCGGCGGCGCCCGGTCTCAGACAAAGGCCAGGCCACTCCCAGGCCCAGTTAAACCACCCGCCTCCCCAGCCTCCCAGCTCTCTTTGTCCCAAGGGTGGCCAATTAGTCCGGGCGCTCCGCGTACCCGCTGCTCCCTCCGGTGCCCCCAGGCCTTCTTAACCCTCCAGGACCCCTAGACGCAAAGCTGTGAGCGCCGTGGGGACCGAGGGGTCGCGGAGGCCCCCTGGTGACCTGGCGCAGCGCCCTGGGACGCTGGGCTGGGAGCGTTCGTTGGGTCTGAAAGGGGACCGTGCGGGGCTGGACGGGGCGGGTGATTCACGGGGGACTCGGAGACGGGTGTGGGCGTGGGCTGAGTCGCCTGGTAGCTTACCTGCTGGGACCCCAGATCCATGGAACCTCCCTCCTCGGTTAATCGCGGGGAGGCGAGCACTGGAGAGGGCACAGCACTAGGGTCCCTCCGCCCCCGCCCCTGTACAGCCGCGCGGGAGCGCGCTGGGGCGCCGACCCCCGACTTCCCAGGTTCCTAGAGGGGCAGGGGCTCCCTGGCACCGAGGTTTAGACTCGGCGCCTGTCTTGGGGAAGGACCCCAAATCCAATTCCACTCCCCCCTCCCGCTTCGTGGTGCTTGACCCTAAGTTCGGATCCTCAGTTGGGGAGGGCGAGGGGCTGAGAGCTCGGTGCTTCAAGGAATAAGCAGCAATTGGGAGGACGACCTCTCGGCGCTGAGGGTCGGGAGCAAAGGGGGGCGCCCTCGGGGTGCAGGGCGGGCCCTGAAGGAGGTGGGGCACGCTAAGACTTTTGGCCTCGGATTCCATGGGCTCCCTGCTCCACCCCGTTGGTTGGGGCCGGGCGCTCGGATCCCGCTCTCGAAGGACCTGGCCACGGGTGGCCTTTTCGAGCCGCTCCTCGCGCCGCCCGCAGCCCACCCGGGGCTCAGGCCGCGGCAACTCCTCTCGTGCCCGCGAGATGGCGCTGCAGGCCAGGGGCCGGGCCGTATGCGGCTAGCGCGTCCGGGCCGGAGGGGAGGTGGACGAGGGAGCCACCGGGAGATGGGTACCGAGTCAGCCGTCGACGGACGGAGATCCAGACCCAGAGACCATACCAGGCTGCAGACGCCTGGACCAGACGCTCCGAGGCTCAGAATGGGGCCGTGCCCTTGCGGCCGCGCTGCCATGCGATCTCTCCACCTGCGAGGCGGCTGCAAACTACGCTTCTGTGTGCCTGGTGAGGCCGGGTCATCGCGATTCCGCTCTCTCCTTCCTGGCCTCGCAGGAGCAGGGCTGCGGGCTGGGACCCGCGGGTGCCGGCCCAGTGGCCTGCGGGCTTGGGGAATGCGAGAGAGGTTGAGGCTGCACGCAGTGCTTCTCCACCTCAGCTCCGCATTCTGCAGGGTGGAGGCCGGCCTGGGCTCCTGCGGGGGGGGGGGCGAGTGCCAGAGGCCGGGGGGAGACTGCGGGAAGCTGGTGAAGAAGGAGAGGCCTGAGGGTTAGCCGAGAACATCTCCTTGGATTAAAAACTACCGAAGTTCCAAGTCACTTTGGGGGCTGGGGTGGAGGCCTGGTACAGGGGAATGACAGGGGAATGAATGTCGGAGGTGGAGTCGAGGACGGGGCTCGGACGCTGATTCCAGAGGACCTCGCTGTGCCCAGATGAGCTCAGCCACCCCAGAAATGAACCCTACACGCATTTGCTTAGGGCACTCAGCCAGAAAGCAGCCAGGCTGACACTAGGGTCACTTCCTCCTGGACACAAACACCAGCCAGTTTGAGCCCAGTCAGGTGTCTTCCTTGAGCTTCTCTGTCAGCATTTTTTCCCTTCCGGTGTAACAGAGATTGGACCAAAACTTCAGTTTAATTTTTATCTGTCTGGTCATCTAGTGTTGAAGCAGCTGCTTGGTAGGAGATACCTCCAAGGTCAAACTGCCTCTAGCTGTGAGACGTTGGACAACGTGACTTTCTTCTCTGGGCCCCAGAATACTCTTCAACCAAACAAGTGGTATGGACTAAAACCAAACTGATTCCTGAATGACCAGTCGGCTTCGACCCAGTTTCCACTGACCCCCGCCCCCCAGCCTCAACTACTTGTGACAGGAGGCAAGGACTATGCTCCCATTCCTTGTCGGAGAACCTGAGCCCCAGCCTCAGGCCTTGGGATCTTGGCTGTCGCCGAGATTCTTGGGGTGGGGGTAGGGCTGGTGGCCTGGATGAATTCCCAATTAGGAAATTGCATTCCAGATCCTGAAACCCTCAGGGAACTGGCCGGCTCCAGCCTCCTCCCTTGGGATGAGGCTGCTCACTGCTCCACCTTCCACCTGGGCGCACCCCACACACTGGGGACTTTGGCATCTAGTGCCACAGTTTGTTGGCTGTGTGTGACTCCTCCGAAAAGAAAGGGTTATGTGTGGAGCAGCGTACTGAGGCACCTCTGTTTAAGGGTGTCCCCGATACTCCATGGGCTCCTTCCTTACCTGAGTGGCATTCAAAGCACTTTCACCTGTGGGCTCTCATCGAGGCACAGAGATTATGATCCCCATTTCACAGAGCCTGAGGCTCAGGGAGATGAACTGAGGTGCCCAGGGCCCTCCAGTACATGAAGGACAGAGCTCTTTCACAATTCCTGCCCTGGATGACATTTGACATTGGCTGATGAAGTGATGACGGTGGGAGTCAGTGTCGCCTAGGGTGGGGAGCAAAGGGGTCGAGTGGGGCCGTCTGCAGTCAGCGCCGAGCACCGAGCACCGAAGTCCTGGCCAGGAGCTGTGTCCATGGGAGGGCAGCAGACCAGAACCGATAGGTGAGACCCGGGGAGGGGCAGCTCTGGGCTTCCTGGGAGCCTAGTGGGACCCGCTGGGTCCCCAGGCAGTAAGAGCAGGGGCAGCTGAGGGGCCTCAGGCTT